ACTATGCAGCCAACACAATGAGTGAGTGCCGGGGTCAGGAGTATGGAGCATAGAGCCCCTTACATTGCTGGTCAGGAGGAAGAAAACATTCCCCAGCCGGCCATGAAGAATACACTTTATTGCCAAAAGTATTGGCCCGCCCTCCAAATCATGTGATTCAAACTGTTCCAATCACCTCCATGGCCACAGGTGTATACAATCAAGCCCCTAGGCATGCAGACTGCTTCTACAAACATTGTGAAAGAATGGGTCGCTCTCAGGAGCTCAGTGACTCCAAGCGTGGTCCCGTGATAGGTGGTCACCTGTGCAATAAGTCCATCCGTGACATTTCCGGGCTACTAAATATTCCACGCTCATCTGTTAGTGGGATTATAACAAAGTGGAAGTAACTGGGAACAACAGCCACCAAGTGGTAGGCCACGTAAAATGACAGAGAGGGGTCAGCGCATGCTGCGCAGAAGTCACCAACTGTCTGCAGAGTCAATAGCTAGAGAACTTGGTGTGGACTTCAGATGAGCACAACAGTGCGTGGAGAGCTTCATGAATGGAGTTTTTCCATGGCCGAGCAGCTGCATCCAAGCCTTACATCACCAAGTGCAATGCAAAGCGCATCCTATTTTTTTTTGTTATAATTTAAATATTTATTGATTTTTCAAATTAACAGATTATACAAACATATCCCTTCTAAAACATGAACACAGTATAAAAAAAACATTCCTCTTTTCATCTTATCCCCCCCCAACCCTCCCCTCCTACCTAAACACACAACCCATCCCCCCTTCAACCCTTCTCCCCCCTGCAATTTCCTATTCCTTTCTGGAGATCTCAATCAAAACAAAGGAAAGTAAGAAGCCAATACACCCATATTGTTCTGTGCTAATCCCCCATAGACTCTAGATTTAGCTTTTGATTTTTTAAATTCTTCCCATTTGTTCCATCTTATATGACTCCATCTTATCTTCATTCATATGATAAAGTTCCTCCAATCTACATATTTGATCGACCCAGTCCACCCAATCTTTTATTTTCAGCACCTTCTGTCTCCTCCAGAACTTGGGTATCAATCCTTTTGCTGCGTTCAAATAATACAACACCCTAGACTTTTTATATTTTTTGACTGAAAGCTTAGTACCATGAAAAAGACAAGTCTCTGGGTCTTTTAATACCTCAACCTCTGAGATTTTTTGAATAAAACTTACTATTTTCTCCCAATACTCTTGGATTTTAGGACACTCCCACCATGTATGATACATTGTGCCTGTACCTCTACATCCACGCCAAAATAAAGGTGAACTATCTCCATTTAATCTATGTGCTACAAATGGTGTGATATACCATCTTGCCAAACACTTCTAATTAATTTCTACCTCCTGCATATTTACATTTCCATGTATTATTCTATATATTTTCCTCAGTTTTTCTGTGTCCAATATTATTCCTATATCCCTTTCCCATTTTTCTATAAATGGAGGCCTTATATCAGTGTTTATTTCAGTGAGAATCTTATATATTTTAGAAGTTCCGTGTTTCCCATCACCCCGTGTATCTAACAAATGCTCAAACAGGTTCCACTCCCCTCTTGTTCTTAAAGGCTTTGGAAGCTTTCCTATAAAGTGTTTCAATTGAAAATAATGCCACTCATCCATTTTCGTGAAACTTTCTCTCTTTCTCCAGTTCCTTAAGTGATTCTATTTTCTTCCCCACCATTATATCCCTTATTTGTGCATCTTCCTTCTTTATCCACCTCCCTGTGATTCCTTCTTTACCTGGGGGGAAAAAACTCTGTGGACCCTAAGGACATCAATAAAGAAATAAATTCCCATCCCATCTGTTTGTGTAAAACATCCCACACTCTAAAAACATTTAATGTGAGCAAACTTGTGCTATCTGCTAATCCTCTGTATTGTGGAGGTAACCATATGATTCTACTTAAGCTGGTACTACTTAGTGTATTTTCTATTTTAACCCAGCTTTTCCCTTTTGCATTATGTGTCCAATCAAAAACTCTCACCATTATTACCGAACTATAATATCTTTTCAAGTCTGGTACTCCCAATCTACATTTCTCTTTATTTCTACTTAAAATCTGATAGCTTATTCTCGTTTTTTTATTCCTCCAGATAAATCTTGTTAACATTTTTTTAATTGTTCTAAAATATACTTCTGGTAGTTTAATTGGTATCATTTGGAATTTATATAGAATTTTTGGAACAATCACCATTTTTATCAAATTTATACGGTGTATCCATGACTGGGCACCCACTCCTAATTTCCTAAATTCATCCTTAATCTCATTTAACAATGGGATGTAATTCAATTTATACAAGTTCTTGGAAGATACAGTTAGTTTTATTCCTAGATATTTTAGTTCTTTTTCTCGCCAAATGAAGGAAATTCCTCCTGTAATCTATTTTTCTCACTATTTAGAAGATTTATATTCAAAATCTCTGTTTTTGTTGGATTAATTTTTAAATTTGATATCTCCCCATACTCATTCAATGCTCTTATTAAATTTGGCAATGTTATCCTTGGGTTTCCCACATAGAACAGCATATCATCTGCATAAGCTGCCACCTTATGCTCTGTATCTCCTATCCAAATTCCCTTTATATCTATGTTATTCCTTATTGTAGCTAATAAAGATTTTAATGACAACACATATAAAAGTGGCGACAGAGGGCAACCCTGTCTTGTTCCGTTTTGCATCCCAAAATACTCTGATAATTCCCCATTGACCATGATTGCTGCGGAAGGTTGACTATATAATTTCCTTATCCATTCTCTCATTCTAGGACCCATCCCCAATACTTCCAGTGTATCCATCATATATCCCCAGTCTACTCTATCATATATCCCCAGTCTACTCTATCATATATCCCCAGTCTACTCTATCAAAAGCTTTTTCCACGTCAATCGAAAGTACCGCCACTGGCGTTTTTTCTTTCCTACTTTTTTGTATGAGAAACAAAGATCTCAATCCATTGTCTCTCCCCTCTCTCCCTGGGAGAAAACCCACCTAATCCATACCGACATATATTCTTTTATCCTATTTGCCAAGACTTTTGCATAAAGTTTAGTGTCTATGTTTAATAAGGAAATCGGTCTATAGCTTGAGCAGTGAGTTTCATCTTTAAATAATCAAAATCTCCTGCGCTTTGAAAATGGAACTACTAAACCTATTCCTTAAGCTGCCAGCACTCAAAAACTGATACCAAATAACAGTGTCAATGAATATTAAATGAACAGTGCAGCGCTCTAAAAAACTACAATTCAATAAAAAAAAACTACAATTCAATAAAAAATGGCAATAGTGATATAAATGAAAAATTAGTGCCAACCCATATTAAAAATAAGAAATTAGGTGCAAAACCATGACCATAAAAATATGTGCCCACCATTCAGTATGATATTTGACACTCCAAACATCATCCAATAAAAAACTTTAACAGTGCTCACACAGTGCCACAAAAATAAATAAACATAATATATGTATCAAAAACAATTCCTATTAGTGTAATACCAAACAAATCATGCGATGTGGCAGTGATATTCAGCATTTATCTTTTCAACATAAATATAATACAATATTAAGAACAATGTCCTTTAGGTGAAAAATAGAGCAAATCATGCGATGTGCAACAGTGATAATAGATGAAAAAACGTGACTGTGCAAAAATCTCTTTCGTTAATGGCTAGATTGCCTCCTCACCTCCTCCTACTGACCCCTACGGGCCAACAGGCTTGCAGGATCACCCTGGATCCTTAGTATGTAATGGCCAGCAGCTTCCTTCCTTCCCTGGAGCTCCTTTGCAGGGTTCCAAATACCCTTATTCAGTCAGGGCGGTCCTGAAGAGTAATAGCTCACCAATCCAGTGAGCCAAAAAAAACTCCTAAGTGCAGTATTTTCAACTTCATTTATTAAATATAGAGTAAAAAGGTTTAACACTCACATTGCAGCCAAACTTCCCTTCTCACTGATGTGTGGGTGTACTGCATGCGAGTGGGACCTCTCGGGTATAGCAAATGGCGTCTCACGCCGGAAGTGCGTCACCACGCACCGGAACTATAATGGCACAAATTTTTCATTTATATCACTATTGCAGTGAGTTTCATCTTTACCTTCTTTATGTATGAGAACTACATGTGCTTTTAAGGATTCCTTTCTCAATTCCATCTCCCCACCCAATGCATTCATATATATTCTCAATTTAGGTATTAATAGTTCTTTATCTTTTTTATAATACCTCCCAGTATATCCATCTAGCCCTGGACTTTTCCCCACTGTTGTACTTTTTAATGCTATTTCTATTTCTTCCTGCGTTATTTCTGTGTCAAGAGATTTTAATTGTTCCTCACTTATTTTCGGTAAATCCGCCTTTAAGTATATCTGTCTTTTTTCTATTTTTCCTACTCCTTCTTTATATCTAGCACTATGGGGAGTAATATTATATAGGTTATTTTAATATTCTTTAAACAATTTAGCTACCGTATTTTTTGCTCCATAAGACACACTTTTTCCCCCCAAAAAAAGAGGGAAAATGTCAGTGCGTCTTATGGAGAGAATGTAAAGCGGCCGGTCCGGTATTTCTGCAGCCACCATGTCAGAATATAGGGCCGGCCGCTCAGCTCTTCTCTCCTGCAGGACCTCACCTGTTCCTCGCTCCAGCACTGCAGTCTTCCCGCAGCGGCTTCTGTGACAGCCGGGTGCCCACTGCGCATGCGCGAGAAGCACCGCGCTTTGTGAATGGTCCCATTCACAAAGCGCAGCGCTTCTCGCGCATGCGCAGTGGGCACCCGGCTGTCACAGAAGCCGCCGCGGGAAGAAGGAGGAAAGACAACTCCGCTGAAGTGGGAGCCGGGTACCTGTCAAAAATTCCCTCCCCAAAGGTCCGCAGTCTCTGGTAATCTCCTTTACTGTCCGCAGTCTCTGGTCATCTCCTGTACTGTGTCCGCAGTCTCTGGTCATCTCCTGTACTGTGTCCGCAGTCTCTGGTCATCTCCTGTACTGTGTCCGCAGTCTCTGGTCATCTCCTGTACTGTGTCCGCAGTCTCTGGTCATCTCCTGTACTGTGTCCACAGTCTCTGGTCATCTCCTGTACTGTCTCCGCAGTCTCTGGTCATCTCCTGTACTGTGTCCGCAGTCTCTGGTCATCTCCTGTACTGTGTCCGCAGTCTCTGGTCATCTCCTGCACTGTGTCCGCAGTCTCTGGTCATCTCCTGCACTTTGTCCACAGTCTCTGGTCATCTCCTGTACTGTGTCCGCAGTCTCTGGTCATCTCCTGTACTATGTCCGCAGTCTCTGGTCATCTCCTGCACTGTGTCCGCAGTCTCTGGTCATCTCCTGTACTGTGTCCGCAGTCTGTGGTCATCTCCTGTACTGTGTCCGCAGTCTCTGGTCATTCCTGTACTGTGTCCGCAGTCTCTGGCCATTCCTGTACTGTGTCCGCAGTCTCTGGTCATCCCCTGTCCTGTGTCCGCAGTCTCTGGTCATCCCCTGTCCTATGTCTCTGGTCATCTCCTGTCTGTGTCCGCAGTCTCTGGTCATCCCTGTCCTATGTCCGCAGTCTCTGGTCCTCTCCTGTACTTTGTCCTGCAGTCTCTGGTCCATTCCTGTACTATGTCTGCAGTCTCTGGTCCTCTCCTGTACTATGTCTGCAGTCTCTGGTCATCTCTCCTGTACTATGTCTGCAGTCTCTGGTCCCTCCTGTACTCTCTGTTTGCAGTCTCTGGTCCTCCCTCCTATGTACTATGTCTGTACAGTCTCTGGTCCTCTCCTGTACTATGTCTGCAGTCTCTGGTCCTCTCCTGTACTATGTCTGCAGTCTCTGGTCCTCTCCTGTACTGTGTCTGCAGTCTCTGGTCCTCTCCTGTACTGTGTCTGCAGTCTCTGGTCCTCTCCTGTACTGTGTCCGCAGTCTGTGGTCATCTCCTGTACTATGTCCGCAGTCTCTGGTCATCCCCTGTACTGTGTCTGCAGTCCATTGGTTCAGAATATTTTTTTTCTTGTTTTTCTCCTCTAAAACCTAGGTGCGTCTTAAGGTCAGGTGCGTCTTATGGAGCGAAAAGTACGGTATATCTTTAGTTGAATACACTAATTCTCCTTTGGGATCCCCTATTTTCTTTATGTAATTCCTAGTTTTTTTTTTTTCCTCAGGGCCCTCATTAGATACTTTCCTGGCCTGTCTCCCCATCTATATCTCTCACTTATCATTTATCAAATTGTTTAATTCTTCCCTTTTATTTGTTACCTTCTGCATAGTCTCTTTAGATGCTCTATGTTTGTGTGTCTGTTCTAGCTCACAAAGTTCCCCTAGAAGCGTGTTCATTTTTTCTCTCCTTGCCCTCTTTTTCCTTGCTCCTACAGCTATCAAGATTCCTCTAATATACGCCTTATGAGCCTCCCACACCATTGCCACCGACACTTCCCCATAATCGTTTTCTTCAAAGAATTGCTCTATTTCTTTTTTAATTTTCTGATTCGGCTCTTGATCCTGAAGAAGTGTCTCATTTAACTTCAACCTTTTCCCCCCTTCTGCTCCTTTCCCCATAATAACTGCATTGTGACAGGAGAATGATCCGATATTGACATCACTTCTATTTTTACTTTGACCAAGGACTCAAGGAGTTGATGTTCCAGCAATATATAATCCAATCTTGAATACATCTCATGTGCATGTGAGTAAAACGTATAATCTCTGTCCTTCATATGCTTAATTCTCCAACTATCTACAAGTTGGCATTGATATATCACTTTTTTTAGGGATCTCAGAGATCTACTTTCCTCTTTCTGCACAGGAGACGTCGTGTCTATCTGAGGATCCATACAAAGGTTAAAATCTCCTGCCACAATTAAACTGCCTTTTTTTGAAATCTAATAATTTTTTCAGAGTATTTTTTAGGAATACCTCCGTTTTTTTTTTTTGTTCGGGCAATAAATATTTGCTAATGTGAAATCCATCTCCTGTAGCTTTCCCTTCAGAAGCAGAAATCTCCCTTCAGGATCTACCAACCTGTCCTCCAATTTAAACCTTATATTTTTTCGCAAAACCTATTGCCACTTCTTTAGCTCTTCTAATTGGGGAATCCGCATAAAACCACAATGGGTAATATCTGAAATTCAATTTCACATTTGTTTCTGGCCCCAAATGTGTCTCCTGTAAAAAAAAAACACTGAGGACATTCTATGTCGAATCTCTTTAAATATCCTAAATCTCTTCCCCGGGCTATTCAAACCTTTAACATTATAAGTCACAAAGTGAATTTCTTACATTATTCCCTTTTCCTCCTTTCTTTTCCTCTATCCCCACTCTCCTCCACTCTTGTTGATACCTTCCCCTTTGTTCTAATACTTCTCCAGACTGATGTATCTCCAGCTATATTGCAGATTTTTAACCTACCAACCCCCTCCCCATACCCTTCAACTCCCCTCCCATCCTCCCCTCCACCCCCCCCCCCCTCCCCTTTAGACTTATAATTAACCCCTCTCCACCCCAACTCTCCCCCTTCCTCTTTAGGTTTTTTATTTGTTTATGAATCATTTGTGGTCTGGTTCCACCTTAGATTCTACCTGAGGTGGGGCTCTGGGCATGCGCTTTATCCCTCCCCCCTACCCACCGAGTTCAAAGGGAGGGAGTGAGAAAGAGAATGGGTATGGCATGGGGACAAGAAAAAAAAAACGTCCCCCCTCCATCTCTCTCCCCTCTCTCACTACCCCACCCTATCTCAACTTATGAAACCTGCCACCTATCTTTTTCCAGTTGACTTCTTTCCTCCTGACCTTCCTCCCAATCTGGAATATTTATTTTCTGTAGTTCAAGTCTCTCACAAAAGTCTCTCAAATCTTCAGGAAACCTCCATCTTGCCGATCGACCATTCTTCCATCCTATCAGACAGGCGGGAAATCCCCATCTATATTGAACTTTCTGCTTTCTCATTTGTTCTAAAAGTGGTTTTAAAGTTCTTCTTATCAATGTTTCTGCTGCAAGATCAGCAAAGATCTGAATATTTACTTCCCCATATTTTATTATCGCTCTTCCTTTTACCTATTTCCATTTTTCCTCTTTGTCTCGGTAATAATGAAATTGTACAGTTATGTCTCTCGGATTGCTCTTTCTTCCCTCCTGTTGTTGGACCCTTCCTATTCTATAGACCCCATCAAGTTCAAACGGAGCTGTTAAAGTTCTTTCTAATATTATATCAAACACTTTCCTTCTTGTTTCCTGCAGATCTTCTCCTTGGGGTATCTCCGGGAGACCTCGTATCCGTAAATTATGTTTTCTGTCCCTGTTTTCCTGATCTTCCAATTTATATAGCAGATTTCTTTGCTCTTTTCTCATATACGTTAGCTTTTTTTCCATGATAAATATGGCTTGGGCATGTTTGTCTAATTTTCCCTCTGTTTCTTCCACTCTTGCCATATCTGCCCCCAAATCTTTATGTAGTTTCCCCATTTCTTGTTTTATAGATTTTTCTAATTCTTATACATATCTGCTATTTCAATTTTAGTGAGCAATTGAGATCTCTTCTCTTGTTCTTCTATATCTTCCTGTGTCCTTGTTCTTTCTATATCCATATCTTCCATAATTTGGCTACTATTTGCCATTCCCAGGGATAGTCTAGAGCTTTCACCGATGCTATGTTTCATCTCACCACTACCATTTATTACTGTTTGTCTCTCAGGTAAGGGTACTATTTCCCTGTGATGGTATATATTTTTTAATTGAGCTTGTTTGAGAGACTTTTGAACCTCCTCCCTTTGCCGTTTTATTCTTCATTTTGTTTTATTATATTTTTTCTCTCTATTTTTCTGTTCTCCTCCTCTGAATGTTCAGTTAGCTGAGCGGAACTGATGTAAGAAAAGAGCAAAAAAAAGTCCTTTAATCCTTTATACTTCAAGTCCCTTTTCCGGATTTCTCTTTCTCAGTTATTCAACCTCTTTTCCCTTCTTCTCATTTAGGCTTTTTAATAGTCCCTCCTGGGTGCAGTACCCCCCCCCCCCCCCCCCCCCCCAAGGTTCCTTCACATTCACTTCAGCATAGGTTTAATATTTATCAATACAGTACATTATATTATTTTCCTGTTGCTCTCACTCACCCTCTTAGTTCCTTTTTCTTCTTGAGTGGGACAGCTTTCCTGGTTTTTCTTTTTTCTCTTCTTTTTCTTTTCTTTTTGAGGGGTTTGGGGTTGCTGACCTCAGTATACTCTCCGGGTAATAGGTGTGCTCAAAGAAGGGGGGGGTGGACTCTCTGTTATAGTGGTACAGAGCGATTTATTTAGGACTCTTTGGGAGACAGAAGCCAGGACTCACACATGCATGCCTCCACACCGGCCAGCTTCTCTTCTCCCAGTTATCCTCTGCGCCAGGCCACATGATCGCTCGGCATCCTCTCAGCTCCAGTTCCCTCCCAAGGATCTCCGCTCTCCCTCTCAGCCACATATCCTCTCCTCAGCCCCCGGTTCTCCAGGGCAGACTCACGGGCAGGCTCTAGGGGCTCTCCTCTATCCTAGGGGACTGCACTCACATTGTCCTCATCTGTGGCTCCCCTGTCCTCCATCCACTGTCAGCGGTACTACAGAGGGGGCCGGTGCTGGAAGCTCTAAACCGAACTCCCGTTTGGCGCCATGCACAGGCTCCTCCCTCCACGACCCTATCTTGTGATCCAATGAGAGAATGACTTCACATCCACATCCTATTATTATGTGACCAATACCATCCAAATCATTCTTACTTTCATTTCCCAAAGTTATCCCTCTACAAGGAGACCTGTATAGATCAAATGATGGCACCAATGAAGATGGAGGAGGACCGGAGTCACATGACTGAGAAGATGCTAAACCTCACCCTGGAGATCATCTACCTGCTGACCGGAGAGGTGAGGAGGATTCTGGGAGGTCACATGACATCACTCTTATCTTTATTAATAAAACACAGACCTGACCGGAGAGGTGAGGAGGATTCTGGGAGGTCACATGACATCACTTTCATCTCTATTAATAAAACACAGACCTGACCGGAGAGGAAGGGAGGATTCTGGGAGGTCACATGACATCACTTTCATCTCTATTAATAAAACACAGACCTGACCGGAGAGGTGAGGAGGATTCTGGGAGGTCACATGACATCACTTTCATTTCTATTAATAAAACACAGACCTGACCGGAGAGGTGAGGAGGATTCTGGGAGGTCACATAACATCACTCTCTCATCTCTTTTATAAAACACAGACCTGACCGGAGAGGTGAGGAGGATTCTGGGAGGTCACATGACATCACTTTCATCTCTATTAATAAAACACAGACCTGACCGGAGAGGAAGGGAGGATTCTGGGAGGTCACATGACATCACTTTCATCTCTATTAATAAAACACAGACCTGACCGGAGAGGTGAGGAGGATTCTGGGAGGTCACATGACATCACTTTCATTTCTATTAATAAAACACAGACCTGACCGGAGAGGTGAGGAGGATTCTGGGAGGTCACATAACATCACTCTCATCTCTTTTATAAAACACAGACCTGACCGGAGAGGTGAGGAGGATTCTGGGAGGTTACATGACATCACTCATCTCTATTAATAAAACACAGACCTGACCAGAGAGGTGAGGAGGATTCTGGGATTCTAACATGATATTCCTATTGGTTCCTCAATACAGAGATTTCCTCTTCTGAAGTCAGGTGATCATATGACCATCAAAGTGCCTCCATGTGACTCCCTAAAACCTGAGAGACACAACATGCAGAAGATTCTAGAAGTCACCAAGAAGATGATGGAGCTGCTGACAGGAGAGGTGAGCGGTGCCGGGAATTCTGGGATATTCTCCAGTAACAGACAAGGGATGTGTCTGGATGGTGACTGTATCATTGTGTGTGTCAGGTTCCTATAAGGTGTCAGGGTGTCACTGTCTATTTCTCCATGGAGGAGTGGGAGTATTTAGAAGGACACAAGGATCTCTACAAGGACGTCATGATGGACAATC